CCTCTGCACCTCCGTTGCGTAGACACAGGGAGTAGATAGTGGTACGCAGGTCGGGAGAAATGAGATTTGCCTGTGGCTGGCCCTCCGGGGTCTCCATTACGGAGGCGTAGTGAGCGTCGAAGGCCTTGCGCGCCCTCGAGATGACGTCGGGGTGACCGGCACGACCGAGAACGTCCAGAATGATCGGTCGTAAGAGGCTATCGTTGTTGCTGTCTTCGGGTTTAGGGTCAAAACCTACGAAAAGGAGACTGCCTGATGAGGCTCGGTTTTGCGCTTCGGTGTTTGAAGCCAGTTTGGCATTTTGAAGCATTTCTCACAGTAATATAAACATTAATATGAAGAAAAGAAAACAGGCAAGTTCTCCAAAAGAGTCAATTTTTTAGGGGACAGTCCCACGAATGTTCACGACGAAAAAAAATCGGGAGGTGTAAACAATTTTAATTGGAGAAGGGCAATGCAGGCATAAGAAACGATGCATCAGGAGCATATAAAGCCCAACGGACTCACCAAGTTTCTCGTAAACAGGCAAGGTCAATTGGGTGTAGAGGTTATTGAGACCAACCTCCTCTGGTGAGGGGTCAGAAAAGACAACCTCATCACCGGCCTTGTAGGCCATCTCTTGGAGGATGAAGCGAATGTGACCCAGTCCCTGAGCCAGAACTGACCACACACTGGACCTGTCTTCACCCATGTAGGCTCGAGTCAAATCGAGTACAGTCTTCAGGGGACATTGACCGGCGCGAGCCTGAAGAAGACATGAAGGGGAACAAAACAATGAGTTCTAGTCCTCATTCAGAGGAAATGGACGGCTTTGTAGACAGTCTCGAGCAATCGCATACAAATGCAATACTTTATTTCCGAAATTAGGGGCTCAAAATTGAATTGCGTTCAGTACGTGAGGCAGCTCTTAGCTCCACGAGTACGCGAAAAGTCGACAGATGTGGTAGTGGTAACTGTCCATCACCCAGGAATTAATTAAAGTTAGTTTGTCTAGCTACGTTGCAATGTTTTGCTCCTAAATAGCAAACGGGAGTGACGTTCGAGGCAGTTCCTCAAGCCAAAAGTGTACTGAGGTGAATGTTCGCATTCTAGGTGAATGTATATGTAGAAAGGAAGAAGGCTGTTTGATCTCTGGAAGCATTTTTTTATTCATCTAGCGCTAGCCTTACTTGAAATTGCTTAATACTGTTATAACGGTGACTTCTAGTGGTGTCACCGTCTAATTACGCCCGTCGGAATACACAATAGGAAGGCCGTAACTTTGGAATCCACCCGAAGGAGAGTTTATTGTGTACAAAATCCGGAGTTGCTTTCTCGGGTGGTAGTTGCCGCTGGCTGATCTCCGCTGCGCTGATGTTCCCACTTTGGGGCTCGCCCGGCAATAGGACCGGACTGGCGGTGTCCTCGCAGTCCGTGTGCAACTTACTGTCTGAAATGTGAAAGTGGCTTATAAGTGATTGTTAAGCACGTTGGCGTTTGGCCTGATTGGACGCATTGGGATAAGGTCACGCGACCAGTTGTCCCTTGAGGAACTGCGACCACTTGGGCAAGTGCGTAAGCTCGCGTGCGTGTGTGACCGATTTAATGTCATTGC